ATTTTAATAGGGATTGATATAAATGAGATAAATATATAAAAACTGCGAATATAAATAGCGGTACACTTTTCGTTAATTAGATAATATTGTCATTAATCATGATTTTTGTTTAAACATATTTTAATGTGTTTTAAAATGAGGGTTAAATATTTAATAGCATTTTGTAGTATTATTTGTTTTGCTTATTCAAAAACAAAATGGAGAAATGAGTCTTTTTATTGTATCTTAAATCAAATTTTGGAGTGAACCCATTATGAATAATAATTTATATTAATTTGAGAATAAAATCGTGATGAAAAAAATATATAACACATAAATATGAAAATGTTATAGATTATAAACATTTCATGCAATTAAAATGTAATCTAATTATCTTAAAGAGATAATTACAGCAAAAGCCCCGAACTTTTGAAACACTAACAGACGTTCCCCAAACCTTTGATTTGTTGCCGTCATCACCACTGATATTTACAAACGTTGTAGGTGAGGCCCTTGTGATGGTTTCCGTCAAAAATACCCTTTGTTGACCCAAAAAATTAAAGTCTGACCATTTTTTATCAATTAAATGAGGGTAAAATGATAACTTTATAATATTACCATTGAGAAGACAAAAGAGAACTAAAAAGATCCTATTTTTCTTCTTCCATGTTAAAAAAAAATGAACAAAGAACATCTGTAAAGTAGGGTTGGATTTAAAAATTAGCTGCTTCAAAATCAAGAAAAGAACAAAAGAAGCAGCTTTTCATACCTCAGATTCTCCCAATTTCTCCACAGCCCACCTCACTTGCTGTCAATTCCTCACATGAGTTCCTCAGAATTTCCCCAAAATCATATGGGTTCTTCTTAGCCCCTGTTTGATCCAGATTAAAATCAGATTTTAATCCCCAATCAAAGTCAAACAATTAATATCAACCATATCTTTCATGGGTCCTACAACTTTTCAACCACGCATTCCAAAAATTTCTATCACAATCTACTAAAAATCTAATTTTAATCTCCACCAAACACCATCTTAATAGCATTAAGCATGGTGTACTGCTGTTTCTTTGCTCGTGGAAAGAAGAATGGCATTTAAGATGAAAATTGGTTCTTCATTTTCGTGTATATCCACCTCGCTTTGTTCACCTTTTCGAAGTAAAGCGGCTATGTATGTGTTTTTTTTATCACTCGTATTTAACTACACATTTTTGTCTTTTCTTTTTGGAGATTCTGGGAGGCTTATTGGAAAAAATTGTAATTATTTGTTTTCTAAATGATTGGATTTTAGCAGAGACATTATTTTCCTTTTCGTTTTTTTATTTTTTGAATTATATTTTATATGATAATATTATAAAGTTACAATTTTATCCTTATTTAATTAGTAAAAAATGGCCAGACTTTCAATTTTTTGAATTTGATTGAGACGACTAAAATGATAGGGACAGGTAATCAGCAGCTACGGGCAAAATGTTACAAGAAGAGAAAATTATCTTAAATCATATATTGAAAGTTTCAATTTCAAAAATTAGGTACGATATTTTTTTTTTTCCAATGATCAGGTGATAATTATTTTTTAAAAAACATATATACCATTTCTCTCTCTACTATGTCTCTAGCAGAATATCTTTTCTCTCTCTCTTGAAGAAGCTCAAAAAGAAGGCATCCACCATATCCATTTCCCGAGTTAGCGGTGGAACCCTTCGAAGCAACCATGACTGAGGAGGTCGGTGGCTGGAAGAGCCACCTAGTGTCAGAACCATAATCGTAACCGACATGTCGCCCTAGAAGCTTGGTGATGATGAAGCTGAGGTGGTGGTTCTGCTTTTGGTTGTGCTGGTGACATTGTTGGTTAGCTCTTTGAAAGGAGTGGAAATCATTCCTCTGCTCTCTTCACTCCTCTCTGTTGCCCCATCGTCGCCAATTGGTTGAACACGACGATGGCAATAGATATGCCCGCTATGAGGTAGGGTGTTGTGACCACTTGATTTTTGAAGAATTAAACTTCTTTGCAAATAAAAAATTTACATCCTTATTGACATATACTCACATGGGAGTGAGATCCGTGTGAATTAAAAAATGCCAAAAAAATACTGTCCCCCTCCTATTGTGAGGGGTCTGTCGAGGATGGTGTCAAACCCTCCCTAGCAGCATAGCAGAATTGATTTTTGAAACATTTCATTAAGTTTTTTAAATTTGAAGGTATATTTTAAAAATATAATAGTTATGTACTTTTTCCTTGTTACATACAAT